CCGCTGTCGGTGACTTTGCTGCCACCTACTGCCTTGACTACGCCACCCGTGTGGTGGAAACCCCACCTACCCGTCCTCTGTACGCCGGGGGTGAGTCTGCACTTGACTGTGACGTCCTAGAGGACAGGCAGTTTGAGCTGGAGTTTTTGGCAGCCTCTTCTCGCTCTCTCTGTGTCATGCTGCTATTCCCTGAGCGAGACTCCGACGCCCTTGACATAGCGAATCCTCGCACGTACCGTGAGGCAGTGTCAGGGTAGTGGGCCTCTCAGTAGAAAGCGGCCATGGACTCAGAGATGGTGCCTTGGAGATCTACAGGCACTTACGTCAACGCAGTTCCCCCTCCCAAGGGGAATGTTGTCGATGGCACGTGGCTCTTCAAGGTGAAGCGGCCGCCTGGATCACCGCATGTGTTCAAGGCGCGCTACGTGGCTAGGGGCTTCAGTCAGCGTCAGGGAGTTCACTTCTTCCAAACCTTCGCCCCGACCCCGAAGATGACTACTCTTCGGGTTGTACTTAAAGTAGCAGTACAGCGAGACTACGAGGTGCACTCCCTCAACTTCTCCACCGCCTTTCTCCAGGGCCGCCTGCACGAGGAGATCTGGATGGGACGTCCTCCTGGCTTCACTGGCACTTTCCCACCTGGGACCCAGTGGAGCCTAAGGCGACCAGTCTAAGGTCTCCGTCAGTCGCCCCGTGCATGGCACGACACGCTACGCACCACTCTTGCTGACCTTGGGTTCCGCCCTTCGTCCGCCGACCTGTCGCTGTTTGTTCGCAGAGGCTCCATTCCTTTCTTCGTCCATGTCTACGTCGACGACTTGGTCTTCGCTACAGCTAACATGGTTGGTCTGGCTGAGGTGAAGTCCAAACTGCAGAAGAGACACATGTGCACTGACCTCGGTGAACGGCGCCGCTACCTAAGCCTGCAGACCACCAGGGATAGAGCCGCTCGCACCATCACTCTGACTCAGTAACACATGGTGGAGCAGGTCTTTCGGCGGTTCGTATTTCAGTTCTCCACCACACAGCCCACTCCTCTTGCTATATAGACCACTGACTCACCGGCCCTTTTCCTGTCGAGCTCTTTGAGTCCAGTGGTCCCTACGCAGAGCTTGTGGGCTGCCTCATGTACATGATGACTTGTACTCGTCCAGACCTCACCTTTCCCCTCAGTGTCCTCTCTCGTTTTGTTGCGACTGGGAGACACCGTCCTCTTCACTGGACGGCTTCAAGGGTGGCGAAGTACCTGGCAACTACATCAGGCATGGGGCTTGTGCTTGGAGGGAGAGAGCCAGTTGTGCTGACCGGTCACTGCGACTTCCTATGCCAACGCCGTTGAGACCCAGCGATCTACACAGGGTTACTGCTTCAGCTTGGGCGCTGGTGCTATGCCGTGGAGGTCTACTCGGTCGTCGTCTGTGACAAAGTTTAGCGAAGAGGCAGAGATCTACGTTGGTGCTATGGCTGTGCAGGAGCTTCGTTGGTTGACCTTCTTGCTCACCGACCTTGGTGAGAGGCCTCGCTCTGCTCCGTCCTTGTTTGCTGCCAACAAGGCCATGATCCTCCTTTGTTGAGAGCCTCGACTAGAGAGCAGAGTGAAGCACATTGACGTGAGGTACTTTCTCCTACGAGAGCTGCAGCGACGCGGCCAGGCACGTGTAGATTTTGTGGCCTCGGTGACCAACACTGCAGACATCTTCACCAAGGTTCCTCCGCCTGGTGACCACCACATGTTTAGTCTGCAGTTAGGTCTTGTTGAGGCCGGCCCTCGACTGCTGTAATCTTGCCTATTGTTTCTTGCTCTGTGTGTCCTTGCCTTTACATATACTTGTGAACTCTTGAACTGGCCTTGTGTCCCCTTGCTTGTGCCCGGACTATGTGGTGACTTCGTGATCCACCCTGAGCTTTGTATTGTTGCTTCTCTTGACTGGTCTTGTGACCATCTGCGTTTCTTGCTCTCTCGTGCTGTCCCTCACTTAGCCTATTGGGGTGTGTCAAACTATGTATATATATATATATTGTTAGGCTGTAGTGATGTACGCTTTAGGGGGGTACAACACATTAGGGTTCCATTTTTGTATCACCCATGCCGTCTAATCCAATCATTCCGCTGTTCTGCCCCTAAAAGCTCCTTCTATGCCGCAACCTTCTCCGACCTCACCCTCCTGGACCTCCCTGCACCGCACTGCACCGCATTGCACTTCCCGGCACCACCAGGTGTGGCGCATGCTGCCGGCCATCGAGACCCGTGTCTTTACACAGGTCGAAGACCCAGTCATCCGCCAAACTCTCATGTCCGCCTTGCTCTTCTCCTCCTAGCTGCTTCTGCTCGTGGGGGGGTGCTTCTCTGCCCACATGGGCTACCTTTGTGCCCGTTCCTGCTGCTCTGATCCTAGCTACTGCTGCTCTACCCTTAGGGACTGCTGCTCTGCCCAAACGGGCTGCTTCGCTGCCCTGAGCCGCTGCTGCTCTGCCCATAAAGGCTGCTGCTCTGCCCCTAACTGCTGCTCTGGCCCTATTGTCTATTGTAGGACATTCCGTGTGTCGCGTAGTCCAATTGAATGTGTCCCTCATCTGCACATATCCACTGTCAGGATTCAGGAGCTGCTGGCCCATTACAGGCTCATATGCATGCATGATGGTTGCTGGTTGCTTGCTACTCTTCTGTTCCACTCCCGGGGCCTCAGTGCCTCACTCGCGCCCGCAATGCATCAGAAAAGGACTACAATTGCAACTCGTGTACGGTATGCTCCTTGAAGAACGTATGTGATTGTGGTAGCAAATTAACAGCCACAAGCACGGTATCCAAAGCACGCACCATGGCTATGCGACTTGTGGCTAACTACCGGTACGGGTACATACGCTGTCCAGCGTGCAGTAATAACAATAAAAGTAGAACAGAACATGCAAGGGGCAGTGCTAGTCTAAACTGTGCCCTCACACATTAAGAAACAGCAACAGGGGTTGGCCACCTGAAATGACCTGGAACCAATCAACACCCACATGCCAGGCCTTCACCCATGGCAGCTACTGCATGACTCTCAAACTTCTAACTCAGGTACCAAATTAAGATCCAGTGCATGCCGTATGCCGAAACTCAAGCACCACAACAGTTGGGTCCAGCCTTGGTCGTTTCGCAAGCGTCAGTCAGTTGGGCACGAGAACGCAGTCAATGACATGCCCCTTAACATACTTGCCGTTGAACAGCTCCTCGTGTCCACCTGCGCCCAAAACAGCTGCTGCGCTCCCGGGCTGCTTCATTCCACAAGCGTCAGTTGGGAACTAGAACGCAGTCAATCACATGCGCCTTCACATACTTGCCGTTGAACAGCTTCCTCGTGTTCACCTGCGCCCAAAACAGCTGCTGCGCTCCCGGGCTGCTTCATTCCACAAGCGTCAGTTGGGAACTAGAACGCAGTCAATCAGATGCGCCTTCACATACTTGCCGTTGAACAGCTTCCTCGTGTTCACCTGCGCCCAAAACAGCTGCTGCGCTCCCGGGCTGCTTCATTCCACAAGCGTCAGTTGGGAACTAGAACGCAGTCAATCACATGCGCCTTCACATACTTGCCGTTGAACAGCTTCCTCGTGTTCTCCTGCGCCCAATACAGCTGCTGCGCTCCAGGGCTGCTCACCACCACGCTCGTCCCGGGATACCAATACCAACTGGCCCTTCATTATGCTCTTCTTCGCTGCAGTGTGTATCTTGCTGCGGTTGGGCAGGCCTTTAAGCTGCGCAAGGCTGTAATGTCCTGCTAAAATGTGATATTCTGCGAGCTGTTGACGATCGGCAGCAGAGACCTGCGGTCGGAAAGCTGCTTTTGCCCAAGCAAAGTCGGTAGGTGCGAGGAAGGTTAACTGCTCGTAGCCTGCGGAGAAAGCAATATCAGGGACGGACTTTGTTGCGGACAGGGGGAAAGTGAGGTGGGTCGTAGGGAAGAGCACTGAATGTCAGAGGTCCACTGGTGATCCCCGATTGATCCTAGGGAAGGGTTATAGGCACGTTGGCCTGGGGGGTTATGGGCGCACTGACCCGCAACTTAACAAGCCCTTTTATCCCAATGGTCTAATGATTGGGATTCTGACACTGAAGTCGGCCTGTTTATAAAAATCTGTATAACCAACTGTTCCCGGTAGCCTGCCGAAGAGGCAGCGTCAGGGACAGTCTCTGGTGCGGACATGGGAGGTGGAAGGTGGGGGGGGGGGGGGGGGGGGGGGGGGGGGGGGGGGGGGGGGAGTGGGGAGAGGAGAGAAGTGAGGTGGACAGGGAGGGGTAAAAGGTGAGGTGCGACTTAGGGAAGAGGTGTAAAGCCCAGTCCTGTTAATTCTGAACAACTAACTACTCCTGGAATCCTGCAGAGAAAACAGCGTCAGAAACTTTCTCTGGAGCGGATAGGGAGGAGGGTCGGTGGGATGGGTGTAAGGAAGAGGAGTCATACTATTTCAGGTGGCATGAGCATGGTGAGTTCTGGGTGTCACATCAAGAGGAGACAACATTGGAAACCTCCTCTGCCAAAGAGAGGGAGTGGGTGTGGGGACGAAGGTGATGGGAGAAAAACAACCAAATGGTGTTTGGGGAGGGAGGTGAGGTCCCTGTGTTCTTAGGAAGTATGCGTGTGGGAACAAGGCAATGCTGGAGTGGTCTGAATCAGTAAAGTACAAAACGTGCTCAGCAGGACTGAAACCGGCGCGGGCAGAGCCCAACAGATTTCTAGTCTGTCCCGTTAACCATATTCTAAGGACACTGTTTTCGCCAAGATACTTATGCTGCATTTGATCTATTACTTCCAAAACATCAACTATTATATAGCAATTTGGGTTAAGAGGCATGTAACGCATGCATGTTGTTGTGATTAACATTCTAACATACATATAATACATCGCATTGCAGCCGATACATCACATTGCACCTGCCAATGCCCATAAAACTAGGAGTCTGAATGCGCCTCCTCACTCGTATGTCAGTTATCCATAAAGATACGTCGCGCCGCGCCGCCACTCTAGGAGGGGATGCAGAGGGGCATGCCGGCGAAGAGGCTTTGGGAGCGGCACATCCAGCCGCGGTTGAGTTCGCCCACGAGCGGCGGCTGGCGCTGGAACTGCACCACCACCAGCGACGCACAGCTGTCCCCCGCCCCCACCGTGTACCGCCGGTTTGCCACCGTCTTCGACCGCGCCTTACCGCACGCCACCGCTCCCAACGGCGTGCCAGCGACACAAATCTGGGGGGTTGGAGAGAGAGAGAGGGAGGGAGGGAGGGAGGGAGGGAGGGAGGGAGGGAGGGAGGGAGGGAGGGAGGGAGGGAGGGAGGGAGGGAGGGAGGGAGGGAGGGAGGGAGGGAGGGAGGGAGGGAGGGAGGGAGGAGGGAGGGAGGAGGGAGGGAGGGAGGGAGGGAGGGAGGGAGGGAAGGATAGTGCGAGACTTGAGCGAGGTGCCTCAAAAGGCAAGTTTTGCCCTGCTTGGTCCTTAGTGCCAGACCGTCAACACCACACCGCTAGCGCCAACCCCCTATGTGTTGTTGGCCCGGCTTGCTGCTGACTGGATTATAAGGGCATGCTTGTATGGTGCGTAGCACAACTTGAAAACCTACCAGTTTTCTAGTCGACTCAAAAGTCGAGCCAAGACACGCCCTACCTGTTGAAACTAGTCAGTTTCTCACAAATCGCGAGGAGCCCGCTTGTTGAAACCCAGCTCCTCAAGCCACCCTCCATTGCACATAGCCCCACCCCACCTAGGAATAGGTACCTCGGAGGCGGTGAGCGAGCCGAGGGTGTCGCAGTTGATCCCCGGGTTGAGGCGGTAGAGGTCGAACCACGTCATGCCGTAGTTTGCGACGGCGCTGGCGCACGTGAACAACTGGCTGACTGGCTGATACTCCGTGCACAGGTTGTAGTCCGCTGCTCCTGACACGGCATCTCCAACTTGGATGCAGATCTGAGGGAGAGATGGGGAGCGGAAAGGAGGAGAGGGGAGCGGGTGAACCACTGGCCGAGACATGCCGTAGTTTGCGACGGCGCTGGCGCACGTGAACAACTGGCTGACTGGCTGATACTGCGTGCACAGGTTGTAGTCCGCTGCTCCTGACATGGCATCCCCCACCTGAATGCAGATCTGTGGATGTGAGGAGGGAAGAGGAGGTGATGGGAGGGTAGAAGGGGGTAGGTGAACCACTGGCTGACTGGCTGATACTCCGTGCACAGATTGTAATCCGCTGCTCCTGACACCGCGTCTCCCACAGATCTGCGGAAGGGGGGAAGGGAGGGGAGGAGAGGGTGAGGGAAGGAACAAAAGGGCAAGAGAGGGATAGAGATGCCTGAGGGGAGAGGGGAGCGCGTGAGCCAATCGCTGACGTTAACGCTTGTGCTGGCGAGGCAAGCACACTTAAAGCCCATGATACGCCCTTCACTCCCCACTCCCCTCACCCGCTGGTTGGGCACCAGGGCTGTGCAGTCGAGGTTGGGGTTGATAATTGCCGAAGTGCTTAAAGCCTTTGCTACCCCCACTCTCCCCCACTCCCCCGCCTGCCACACCTGTAGCCCTTCTTCCCACCGCTCTCCCCACCTGCTACACCACTGGAACCACTCTGCACCACTCCCCTCACCTGCTGGTTGGGCACCAGGGCTGAGCAGTCAAGGCTGGGGTTGATGGTCGTGACGTCGATGCCAAAGCGGGTGTTGATGGGATCACAGCTCCTTGCTGCTGCATCCGCCTGTGGGGAGCGGGGAGTGGGACGGACAGGGGAAGAGGTGGGGAAGGAACCGATGGGATCACAGCTCTTTGCTGCTGCATTCGCCTGGGGGGAATGAGGATGAGACAGCAGTTAAGAGGGGAGAGAAATGAGCGTTGACAGGTGGTGTGTATGAGACTGGTCTGATAGAGGAAAGCGAGTGACAAAGGATGCAGCTGGGCGACTTGTAACACACCTGGATGACATGTAACGCACCTGGGAGACATGTAACGCACCTGGGTGACAGTGTAGCGCACGCGGCAGACTTGAGCCGAGGAGGGAATGGAGATGTTGAGAACCTGACCCGCCTTGAGATTGTCACAGTCCACTCCCTGGTGAGAGAGAGAGGGGTGGAGGGGAGAGGAGGGGGACGGAAAGGGGGGAGGGTAGGCATGGATGAAGTTGAGATGTTGAGCAGCTGACCCGCCTTGGGATTGTCGCAGTCCACTCCCTGGTGAGAGAGAGAGGGGAAAGGGATAAGGAAGGTGAACAGGGATAGAAAGGATGGATGGAAGGGGTGGATGGTAGGGATGGATGGAGATCTTGAGCATTTGACATGCCTTGAAATTGTCGCAATCTGGGCCCTGGTGGTGGGGGGTTGAGGTTGGAGGGGTAGGGGAGAGTAGAGCAGGGGAAGAGATAGGGAAAGTCCACTCAGTGCTCTTACCTCGTTCTGCTGTAGGATCTGCTCTGCTCTCATCCCAGACCTCTGCTCTCATCCCAGACCTCTGCTCTCATCCCAGACCTCTGCTCTCATCCCAGACCTCTGCTCTCATCCCAGACCTCTGCTCTCATCCCAGACCTCTGCTCTCATCCCAGACCTCTGCTCTTATCTCTCGCCTCTTATTGCTGTAGGAACAGCTCTCATATCTCTTATCACTCTTACATCGTTCTGCGGCGCCTCAGAAGCTATCTCTCATCCCTCCTCTCACATCGTTCTGCAGGAGGAACTGCTCTGCTCTCAGTTGTCTCATCATTAGGATCGATCATTGATGGTACCTCGTTCTGCTGTAGGAACTGCTCCTGGGTGAGGCCGATGAAGCCAGAGATGGCACCACATGTCTCCCCCCCCTGCACTGTGTACGTGCCTTGCACTGCTGCTGCTGTACTCCCAGACATCTCTGCCATGCCACATATGGGATGGGAGGAGAGGAGAGGAGAGGAGAGGAGAGGAGAGGAGAGGAGAGGAGAGGAGAGGAGAGGAGAGGAGAGGAGAGGAGAGGAGAGAAGAGAAGAGAAGAGAAGAGACGAGAAGAAATAGGAAAAGAAGAAAGAAAAAGAATTGAGCGTGCTGGGCTTCGGTTACCAGGCACGCAGGTGGCCTGGCCAGAAGCGAGCGTGCTGGGCTTGTAGTTGGGCGGGCAAAGGCACGAGTAGCCACCATTCCACCACTACACTTCCCTCCCAGTCCCACTCTCCCCTCCCTCCTCCCCAAACCCCCGCCACACCCCCAGCTCTCAGCTCACCAGGTGTAGAGAGGGTATTTTTGAGACGTCTCAAAAACACACTCCCAGCTCTCAGCTCACCAGGCGCGCAGGTGGTCTGCCCAGAAGCGAGCGTGCTCGGCTTGTAGCTGGGCGGGCGGAGGCCTCCTTCCCAGCCCCACTCTGTCGATGCTACTTTTGAGAGTTCTCAGAAGTAACAACTTTTGAGGCGCCTAAAAAATGCTACTTTTGAGAGTTCTCAGAAGTAACATCAACATAGCTTGTAGTCGGGCGGAAAGAGGCCTCCTTCCTTCCCAGCCCCACTCTCCCCTCCCTCCTCCCATAGCATACAACGTTCCCCCTAGCCTCACCAGGAACGCATGTAATTTGGCCAGAGGCGAGAGTGCTGGTCTTGTAGTTGGGCGGGCAGAGGCACGAGTAGCCGCCGTCGCCGCTGTTGATGCACTGCCCCACGACGCAGGGGTTGCTGGGAAGCACGCTGCAAATGTCGACTGAAAATGAAGGGTGAAGGGGAGAAGGAGAATGAGAGAGAAGTGGCGCAGGGGTTGTTAGGCGGCACGCTACAAATGTCGGCTGTGGAAGGAAAGGGTGGAGGGTAAGGAGCTGAATGCGTTGAGGGAAAGTGGAGCGGACAAGCAAGCAAGACAGCAGCATGCGTTGTCACGTGAATGGGGTAGATAGAAGCAGCATCGGCTGTTTGTAAACCAGGTCATCCCGACCACCAAGTGCACCTTCCCAAGCCTAGCGTCGGAGTAGCAAAACCACGGAAGGATTTCAAGTGCCAAAGCACCCAAAGAGGGGTCAACGCACCCCAAGGGGTCAACGCACCCCAAGGGGTCAACGCACCCCAAGGGGTCAACGCACCCCAAGGGGTCAAAGCACCCCAAGAGCCCACAAAAGGGCCTACTCACCGACGGTGCAGGTGGGTGTGCCATCGCGGTTGACAGCTGGCACCAGCAGGTCCCTATCCTAGTGGGCTTGCTGTGTCGTGTGCCATTGTAACGACGAGGCGACTTTTGAGTCGACTCAAAAGTCACCGCGGTTGGCAGCGGGCGCCAGCAGGCTCCTATCCTAGTGGGCTTGCTGCTCAAAAAGGAGTAGCAGCAAAGCAGGTCCGTGCACTCTCATCCCAACAGCCAAAGCACCCCACAAGTAGAAAGTTGATTTTTTAGACGTCTTAAAAATCAACTTTCTACAAAAGGAGTAGCAGCAAAGCAGGTCCATGCACTCTCATCCCAACAGCCAAAACACCCCACAAGCCCCAAGGGTAGAAAAACTACCCCTCCCATCCCACGAGGGCCCACTCACCGATGGTGCAGGTGGGTGTGCCGTCGCGGTTGACAGCTGGCACCAGCAGGTCCGTGCACTGACACGTGTACTTGCCGTTGCCACTCGTGTCCGCCTCACAAGTGCCCCCCCCACACGGCGACGTGCCGCAGGGGTCCGTGGTCTGGCGGGCTGGCGAGGGGGTATGGGTTGGGGGAAGAGGAAACAAGGGGAAGGGGGGAGTTTTCAAGAAGGGTGGCGCTTTTTGTCAATCACATACGTGCCTCCCCCACACGGCGACGTGCCGCAGGGGTCCGTGGTCTGGCGGGCTGGCGGTAAGGGTGGAGAGAAGGGAAGGGGGAAAGGGTATGACCTGACGCTTCTTGTCCAACACACACGTGGCCCCCCCACACGGCGACGTGCCGCAAGGGTCCGTGGTCTGGCGGGCTGGCGAGGGGGCAGGGGATGGGAGAGGGGCATGACGGAGGGAGAAAGGGGAAAAGGGAAAGGGGGAAATGCGAGGGTAATAAGAGGGATTGAACTTCATGGCACCATCAGAATAGGCAAGGAAGAAAGAAAGAAAGAAAGAAAGACAGAAAGACATAAAGAAGAGAAAAAAGAGGGAAATATATATATATATACATATATATCAAAGAAGGAAACAAGCGCAAGGGGGTAAAAATTGGAAAAGGACGCCTCACTCACCGTTCACAACAGGGTACAGCCCGCGATTGACCAGCATGCCGCACGTGCCAAACGCGTCCCCCTCCATGCGAATCCGCATGTACCCATTCTCGCCCCACCGCGGCCCCCAGCTGTTCTTCAGAATGAAGTAGTTATTTGAGGCGCCCGGCCCCTCGTAGTTATACCCCACGGCCAGCATCACGTGGTCCAGAAGCCCCGTGTTGTTGGTGGCTGTGGCCGTCGCTCTGAACGCGTTGCCCTGCGTGTCCGCCCACACCTCCCCCACCGGGCTGTAGCACTTCAAGCCCTCGTAGATGCCCTCCTGTGAGGGGAGAGAGGGAGGGAGGAAAGGGGAGAGGGTAGGAGGGCGGGAGGGAGGGAGGGTGGGGAGGGAGGATGGGAGGATGGGAGGGAGGGAGGGAGGAACGGGAGAGGGACGAGGGGTTCAAGCCTTCAAAGACTCAGCGTCAGCTGAAGCAGCAGCAGCAGCAGCAGCAGCAGCGAAACACCCCAACTCACCGCGTAGTCGATAAAGTCTTGGGAGGAGGCGCGGATGGTGACGATAACGGGCTGCTTCTGCAGCGCGAGAATCAGCCCCAGCGGCCCCGGCAGTGGCACCTGCTCGTACATGCAGATGTTGAAGAATTCCTGAGAGCGGTGGAGAGGGGTGGTGAGGGGTGGTAGGGAAGAAAAGCAGCGCAGATTTAGAGCACCGCTGTGCATTTTGGGTAACAAGGGGCATTTTGGGTACCGATGCGCATTTTGGTACCAAGGCACGCATATCGGGTAGACTGGAAACTCACCAAGTCCTTGTTAACGCTGCACTTGCCGCTCGCCCCCGTGTAAGCATAACCCGCCTCATCCTGCAGCCCGATCTTCGCCACGTACTGCAGGGCAGCCTCGGGGTACCCCCCCCGGCACGAGGCAGAGGAGCCCGTGCAGTCCACCAGCTGCTGCACCGACAGGCTCATCCCGCTGGGAAACACATCATCGTCCGTCTCTTTCAGCTTCGCATACGCGCCCTGCACCGCCCGCGCCGCCGCATACGCCCAGCAGGAGCCTGGGATAAGGGGAGGGAGGATGAAAAGGGAGGTGGGGGTGTTGTGGCATTTGAAGGGGTAGCAGCAGGAGCTTCGCATCCGCGCCCTGAACCGCCCGCGCTGTCGTGTACGCCCAGCAGGAACCTGGGAGGGGTTTGATGGCATGCGGGCCCAAGTCAATGAAGTCAATGACCGCCCACAAGTCAACAACACTTCGACAGCAGTCAAACCAGGTCAACAGAAGTCGACGCGGGTCAACAGAGTCATTGCAGGTCAACAGAAGTCAACGCCAGTCAACAGAAGACAATGGCGGTCAAGAAAAGTCAACTTCGATCAGCAGAAGTCAATGGCGGTCAACAGAACGAACGCCGGTCAACAGAAGTCAATGCCGGTCAACAGAAGTCAACGCAGGTCAACGGCAGCCAACAGCACGCACCGCAGTTGCCCTGGTCGAAATCGTCTTCAGGAAAAAACTTGCTGTGGTTCACGCTCCTCTTGAAATCCCAAGAGACCTTCTGAGAGATGGGGTCGAGCGTGAGGCCCACGGTGAGGTAGCGCGAGACGGTGTTGAGATTCGGCAGCTTGGCGGGATTGAGGTCCTTGGTCGTGGGGGGGACGTACCCCAGACTGCGGTCTGGCGGTGGGGGGAGGGGAGGCACAGCGAGAGAAGAGGGAGATAAGAGGGATTGGTGTAAGTACATGCAGCTTGGCCAGGTCCTTGGTGGTGGGGGGGGTGTAGCCTAGACTGCGGTCTGGCGGTGGGGGAGGGGGAGGGGCAGGATGGGAGGGAAAGGGGGAGGAGCAGGGAGAGAAGAGGAAGAGAAGACGGAGAAAAGCGGGATTGGCGTGAGCACGCATGGCAGCAGCAGCGGGTAAGAGTCCAGGTGAGCGTCTGCAAGGCGGGGTCGAGCGTGAGACCCACGGTGAGGTAGCGCGAGACGGTGTTGAGATTGGGCAGCTCGCGAGATCCTTGGTGATGGGGGGGGTGTAGAGACTTCGGTCTGGCGGGGGGGGAGGGGGAGAGGAGGGGCAGGGGAAGGGGGGGGAGCGGGAGGAGGAAGGAGAGTGAGGGGGAGCGAGTGAGAAATCACCTTCCCTAAGCACCTTACCAGCAAGGATTTGCGTTCACAATCCCAGGAAGCGCACCTTTGAGAACCGTCAAACCATGCCCTTTACCCCATTCCACCGCACTCCACCCCTCGTTGCGCCCCCGCGCGACTCTCACCAACAGTGTTTCCGCCCGCGCTGTTCCCCTTGCTCGTTCCGCGCCCCTTCCCCCCTCCGCCCGCCGCCTGCTGAATCAGCTTCTGCACGCGCTTCCTCACCGCCGCGAGCCACTTGCGCGCCGCAGCCGCGAACGCGTCTTTAGTTAAGTACGACGCGCGTTCGGGCGGCTTGCCGACGCCCGTCAGGTCCGCGGCGCCCATCAGCGGCGCGAGGGCTTTAATCTCCGCGCGCGTCTTCGCGTCCACTGCTAGAGCCGAGAGGTCCGTCGCCGACACGCCAGCTGTCGCGTCGACAGAGGTCGCGGTGCCGAAATTGGCGTTTGTTGTTGTACCGGATGTGGCTGTAATGAGGAGTGGGGGATTTGGATGGGGGGAAAAGGTGGGGGGGAGGGTGAGGGAGGGAAAGGAGAGAAGGGGGGAGGGAGGAAGGGAGGGGCGGAGGAGGTAGTAAAGACGAGCGGCATTGGGTGGAATGTTGCATTCCACGGTCGGAAGCCTGGGTTTCGTGAGGTGACATGCGTTGCCATGTGGTGCCATGCGGTCGACGCGGTGCCATGCGGTCGACGCGGTGCCATGCCGTGCCGCACGAAAGGCTATTCTAAATGTGGTGACCAGTCACGGAGTCGATGCGCGCTGCCGGATGAACGCGGCGCGCGGGGGGGGGGGGGGGGGGGAAAGGGGGTGGGGGAGGGGAAGGGCGTGGTTTGTGCCCTTGAAGCGCGTGCTGAGTGCGCTTATTGGAACGATACTCCGGTACCTCCGCGGAGCCGGCTGCACGCTGCAGCAGAGCCGGCCGGTACTTTCCGCGGAGCCAGCTATAGGCTGCAGCGGAGCCAGCCGGTTCCTCCGCGCAGTTGGCTGTAGGCTTCCGCGGAGCAGGCTGTTGCCGTTATCTCCCCAAACTTCCGCCGTCTTCCACCGTGGTCCAGCGTCTTACAGTGGCGTCCACCGCTTTCCATCGTCGCCCACCGTTTTCCACCGTCGTTCAGCGACGTCCACCGTCTCTCCTTTCAAACCTCCAGACGAAGCGGGTACATCCTTCATCCCAACCGTGCGCACCCAACGGCTCGACGCAACTTGCACCACGTCAGCATGATAAGATCGTTTTCCCGCCGGCGCGTGCCAGAGCTTACCTTGCATTCTCCGATGCGCGCCAGCGCTTACCCACGTCAGCTCCACATCAGCACGATGGGCCGCTTACCTTGCATTATCCGCCGGCCAGAGACGGCGGCGAACGGTGCGGCAGTGACGATCAGTAAGACTGCTAATAGCCGAAGCGCGTGGGGTGAAAACGCCGAGCCGCGACGACCCATCGTGTCAGGAGGTCGCACACCTCTCTCCAGTAGTACTGGCGCCGCTGTCGCACGGGATGTGCAAGCCTGGCTTACTGGATGACTGGGCTACGCAGACACGTCAGCAATACCGTGACGGGAGCGAAATCCGGATGGGGTAGGAATGCGCGCGGCCCGCGCATGTGAGTCGGAATGTCGAGGCGGCCGTGGAATCTCGAATTAAAAGAACCTAGCGTCCGTCGCCGTGGTGATTAGTATGTCTGGTTTATGCCACATTTACTGACACGTGGCCTCGCTGTAGCCTCTTGCGCGATTCACGCTTCTATGGCGGCTCGTTTCGCGCGACGTGTGATGACAATTGCTAAGGAGCGACGTAAGCCAAGCCTTGGTGGGCAGGCGTAAAAGAGACTTGAGGAAGATTGTACGGAATCAAGCAAACTTGATCAATGTGCGTATATCAAAACAACCAAACTCGTAAGGAGCGTAACTCGTAAGGAGTAGGTCAAGCAACCTCGATGAGAAAATTACGGGTTCGTCTGCGACTGCTTTCCCTGCCTATTGTACGAAACTCCTTGCCACTCGAGCCGTGTTGTACTTCTGTACACTGTAGGCTCCCCGAAGGTCAGAGCATACACTTCACTTCGCGGCACGGATAAAAAGATGTGCACGGGTGTGCTGTGCACTGTGCTTTGAATGGACCAGCAGAGCAGGGAGAGTGACAGCAGCGAGCTTTGCGGCATGCCAGAACAGCAGGCTGGCTTGGCCATCTCCTGCGCAGACACTCAACGTTGGGGGCTCAGGTGGAAGAAATGCGACGAAAACAGCTGCCGCCCAGGCTCACACGGTGAGCGAGTATTGTCAGGTGAACGCGCAGTCATTCGTCCAGTGAGGGCTTGGGCTTGGTTCGAACTTTGCATGAATCCACAAATTGCCACTCACGGGCAGCTTCCTGTCATTCGAGGACTTACCAGAAAATATTTACCTTTCAGTAGTGAAAATACTCACCTTTCAGTAGTGAAAATACTCGCAGCATAAAGGCACATTGATGTTTCCCTTTTGACAGTAGAAATCATAGCCGGAGATCATTCGAGCTGTTTGAGGGTTCGTTCTTGGCCGGTGTCTAGCTTCGGGCAGTTTGTCTGGTGTCAGACCCCTCCAGGGAGGTCTGACACAAATCGTCTATTTTGCCTCATGCCCGTCAATTCCACCTCCTATCAAGCAGCCCAGTCCGAAGTAAGACGCCGGCCAAAAAAAGAACTCTGAAAGTGGAAATGTCACCACCTGAAATGGCGAGCGGCTCGGTTGAACCACCTGTGATGCGAGCAGCAAACCCGATTTCCGCGCTTCCCGTAGGTTGGCTACCGCAATCTACGGTCTGCACATTTTAACCTGCGGTTTGGAGTGCGAAACTCCCCTTGGTTCGTTTGGAAAAAAAAACCCAAATATTCCACGCCCTTACAACTTCTCCAGTTCCGTCCGTATGTATTTGATTCACTTCGTATTTCATAATTCGTGTACTGTACAGTACACAGACCGCTCGAGTGCGAGGGGCTTCCTTCGCGAGGCAGGGAAAATAGTCCCAGGTGAGCTGTGGCGGTTCAGAAGTTGTCAGTTCTTGTGCCATTGCGTAGTTATCTCCCTCGAATCTCTTCGCTGCCACACTCTCCCTTGAGTTTCTCACGTCTGCCCACCTCTCAAACCCTGCTTCTCAGCAATTACCATCACACGTTGCGCGAATCGAGCCGTCATAAGAGCGTAGCTCACGACGAGGCCACGTGTCAGAACAAGTGGCATAAACTAGAAATACTATTCGCCCGGCGACGGACGCTTAGGTCCTGATTCGAGAGTCACGTGGCGTCACCTCGACAGTTCGACTCACCCGCGGGCCGCGCGCATTCCTTCCCCCGTCTGCATTCCGCTCCCACGCGCATTTTTTCCCCCGTCCTCATTCCGCTCCCGTGCGGATTCTTTTCCCCATTCAGTACAGCTGACGTGTCTGCATAGCCCGGGCATCACGTAAGCCAGACTTGCACATCCCGTGCGACAGCGGTGCCAGCACTACTGGGGAGAGGTGCGCGGCCTTCTGTCACGATGGATCGTCGCGGCTCGTCGCAGCTCTTTCATGTAGCAGTCTTGCTGCTCATCACTGCCGCACCGTTCCCCGCCGTCTCTGGCCGGCGGAGAATGCAAGGTATGCGGCCCGTCGTGCTGACTTGGAGTTGACGTGGGTAAGCGCTGGCACGCGCAGTGGAGGACGCAAGGTAAGCTCTGACACGCGCGGCGGTCCTATCATGCTGACGTGGTGCGAGTTGCGTCGAGGCGTTGGGTGCGCTCGGTTGGAATGATGTACCGCTCCGTCTGGAGGTGTGGAACGAGATGGTGGACGGTGGAAAACGGTGGACGACGGTGGACGCGGCTGTAAGACGTTGGACCACAGCGGGCGACGGCGGAAGTGGGGGGAGATAACGGCAACAGCCGCTTGCGCGGCAGCCTGCAGCCAGTCCCGCGGAAGTACCAGCCGGCTCCGCGACAGCGTGCGGGCTCCGCGGAAATTGAAGTACCGGAGTTTTGTTCAAATAAGCGCACTCAGCAAGCCCTTCAGGGGCACGCGCCACGCCGTTTCCCCCTGCGCGGCAGCGCGCAGCGACTCCGTGACTGCTCACCACATCTAGTACAGCCTTTCGTGCGGCCTCGCATGGCACCGCATCGCAACCCATGGCACCTCGCCAAACCCAGGCCTACGCCTTGGAATGCAGCATTCCACCTCATGCCCCTGCTTTTGAACCACCTCCTCCGCCCCTCCCTTTCTTCCTCCCTAACTTTCTCATTTCCCTCCCCCACCCTTCTCCCCACCCAAATCCCCCTACTCATTACAGACACATCAGGTACAACGAAACTCGCGGATTCCGGCACCGCGACCTCCGTCGACGCGACAGCTGGCGCGGCGGCATCGGACCTCGCGGCGCTGGCGGTGGACGCGAAGACGACGCAGGAGATTAAAGCCCTCGCGCCGCTGATGGGCAGCGCGGACCTGGCGGGCGTCGATAAGCCGCCCAAACGCGCGTCGTACTTAACTAAAGACTCGTTCGCGAAGGCGGTTCGCATGTGGATCGCGAAGGTGAAGAGGCGCGTGCAGGCGCTGCAGAAGCAGATTCGGCAGGCGGGGGGAGGCGGTGGAAACGGGCGAGGAATGAAAACGGGGAACAGCGCGCGCGGGAACACCACTGCTGTTGGTGAGAGTCGCGGGGGGGGGTGCAACGAGGGGTGAAGTGTGGTGGAATGGGTGAATGGTATGGGGTTACGCACTGCTGCCGCCTTGCGTGCTAAACGCAAACCCGGCTCTCTTCCCTCTTCTCTCGCTGCTCCTCCCCCCTTCCCGTGCTCCCTGCCCCTTCCCCCCCTCCCCACCGCCAGACCGCAGTCTGAGTTATATACCCCCCCCCAGCACGGATTCACCTGGAACCGTACCCGCTGCTGCTGCCATGCGTGCTCACACACAAACCCCTCGCCTCTCCCTCTTATCTCCCTCGCCTCTCCCTCTTATCTCCCTCGCCTCTCCCTGTTCCCCCCCCATTCGCGTGCTCCCTGCGTCTCCCACTCCCCCCCCGCTCCCCCCACCAGACAAAATTCTGGGCTACAGTCCCCCCCCAGCATTGATCCCACAAAGCTGCCCAATCTCAACACCGTCTCAACTCCTCCCCCAATCCCTTACTCCCTGCCCCTCTCCCCCCCCACCAGACAAAAGTCTGGGCTACACTCCCCCACCCATCATGGATCCCGCCAAGCTGCCCAATCTCAACACCGTCTCGCGCTACCTCACCGTGGGTCTCACGCTCGACCAAACCACCCAGAAGCTCACGTGGGATTTCAAACGCAGTGTGGACCACCGGTCGCTGTATTTGCCTGACGACAATTTCGACCAGGGCAACTGTGGTGCGTGCTCCTGACCTTCGTTGACTGTTGTTGACCTGCGTTGACTGGTGTTGACCTGATTTGCTGGGACTTCGATAGGAGTGTGTCTGGACCACCGCTCGCTGTTTTCGCCTGAAGACGATTTCGACCAGGGCAAATGCGGTGCGTGCTGTAGACGAAAGTTGACGCCGTTGACTGCTGTTGACGCCGTTGACTACAGTTGACCCCGTTGACTACAGTTGATCGCGTTGACTACAGTTGACAGCGTTGACTACACATGACCGCGTTGACTGTTTTGGACTGATGTGACTGCTGTTCAAGTGCGTTGACCGCTGTTGACCTGTGTGATCTAGGACGTATTCAGGGCGTATTCCGAAGGAGTAGTGCTGTTCTTGGTTCACTGCACGGGCGCTGCTGCTGCCGCTGCTGCTGCTGCCGCCGCCGCCGCCGCTGCTGCTGCTGCTGCTGCTGCTGCTGCTCTTGCAGCCACCTTCAAGCCACAACAACCACACCTCCCTCCTCCCCTCCTCTCTGCCCGCCCAGGTTCCTGTTGGGCGTACGCAACAGCGCGGGCGATTCAGGGAGCGTATGCTCTCGACGCGGACACAGACTCGTTCCCCAACGGGACCCGGCTGTCGGTGCAGCAGCTGGTGGACTGCACTGGCGCTGCTGCCACGTGCCGGGGTGGGTACCCCGAGGGTGCCCTGCAGTATGCTGTGAAGAACGGGCTGCAGGATGAGGAGGGTTATGCTTACACGGGGGTCAACGCCAAGTGCGGCGCCAAGAAGGACATGGTGAGAAGGACGGGAGGGATGGGTGAGAACGGGCTGGCGAATGAAGAGGTAGTAAGAGATAGGCACACACACCTACAACGGGGGTCAGCGCCATGTGCGGCGTCAATGTCTAAAGTGCAGGAGCCCATGAGCCTGAGCTGGTTTCTGAGAATTCTCAATAACCCGCAAGGAGACGGTGGGTTTCCAGAGTCGAGCCAACAGGTGCAGCATCACATACGATGTCAGAAGAGGGTCCGAAGTTGACATTGGAATGACCCAAAGTGATATCCCCAAGGGCTACAAGTGTCGTCCTGGGGGGGTATGGGTGCGCTGACCCACCATGGAAACATGTCATTTTATCCCAGTTGGTTAGCGGACTGGAATGCTAACCCTGCATGGTGCGACTTCCTGTGCCCTAGTGGTGGGCCCTCCCAGTGAGGGAGTGTTGGAAGTGGACACTGGAATGGTGGACCCTCCACTGGGGCCGCGTGCTCAATGCTTGTCTCAAGCTCTCTCTTCCTTACCCCACCCTGCTCCCCCTCCACTACCGCCCCTCACCCCTCTCCATCGCTCCCCTAAGTGGAACATCTCGATGTACGAGCAGGTGCCGCTACCGGGGCCGTTGGGGCTGGCGTCTGGACAATGCTCCCTCCTCCTTACCGTGTGCTTTTTCTTCCCTACCACTCCTCACCCCTCTCCACCGCTCTCAGCCCAAGTTCAACATCAGCATGTTCGAGCAGGTGCCGCTGCCGGGGCCGCTGGGGCTCATTCTCGGGCTGCAGCAGCAGCCCGTTATCGTCACCATCCGCGCCTCCTCAGAGGACTTCATAAACTATGCGGTGAGTCTTTGCTTCTGTGAGTTTCTGCTGCTGCTGCACGTCGTGAGTTGGGGTGTGCCACTCCGCTGGTGCTGCTCCTGCTCTTGCTCATGAGTCACGCTGAGATTGTGCTGCTGTTGCTGTTGCTGCGGCTGCTGCTCACCCTGAGTGCTGCTGCTTCTGCTGCTGCTGATACTGTACACACTATCGTGCCCACCATACTTACCTCTGTTTTTGAGTCGACTCAAAAGTCTGAGTGTTGCTGCTGCTGACTCTGTGTTTGTGCTGCTGCTGCTGCTGCTGCTGATACTACACATACTATCGACCCCACCATATGTACCACTATTCGGCGACGTCGTGAGTTGTACCATTCCTCTCCTCACCATACCCCTCCCCACCCGCCACCCGCCACCCGTCATCCGCCCGCCCTCTCTTCACAGGGCGGCGTGTACCAGGGGTGGGGCTGCTACAACCCGCTGGGGTTCATCTTTGATAGCGGGAGCCCGGCTGCCACAGCTACAGCCACCAACAACACGGCCCTTCTAGACCACGTGATGCTGGCCGTGGGGTATAACTACGAGGCGCCCGGCAGCTGGAATAACTACTTCATTCTGAAAAACAGCTGGGGGCCGGACTGGGGCGAGGGCGGGTACATGAAGATTAGAATGGAGAATGGGCCGTTTGGCACGTGTGGCATGCTGGTGAACCGCGGGCTGTACCCTGTTGTGAAAGGTGAGTTAGGGGCCCTTTTCCCACTTCGAACCACCCTCTTGCTGGTCAACCCCTCCTTACCCCGTTGCAGAGTACTTATGGGATTTCTGTTGGTACTTCACCATGTATCTGTGCTCCTTAACCCCTTCTTTCGAGGCGCCTCAAGACTTTCTAAGTCGAATTTTGCGGCGCCTCAAAAGGAATGTTCTATTGGTACGACACCATGTATCTGCGCTCCTTGACCCCGTCGTTCCCCTTTTTTCCACACCCGTTACCTGTCAAAGTCTCAGCCACTAGACCACTGGGATAAAAGGGCTTGTTTCAAATGCGGGTCAGTGCGCCCAAACCCCCCTAGGCTAACATGCTTGTAACCCCCCTATAATCAATCGGAGATCAACAGTGTAGGTCTTCTGACATTACCATCTCGCCCGTCCCCCAGAGCACGGACCTCTGCAGCACGTTCCCCTGTGGGGGGGGCACACTCTCTTAGGTGCATTGACCCCTCCATTCACCTCTCTATAATCTCCCTTCCTCCCCTTGTTTCCTCTCTCTACATCCCCTACCATCTCGCCAGTTCCCCAGACCACCGACCCCTGCAACACGTGCCCCTGTGGGGGCGGCACGTGTGTGGCGGATGGGAGTGGCAACGGCAAGTACACGTGTCAGTGCACGGACCAGCTAGCACCCGCTGTCAACCGCGACGGCACACCCACCTGCACCGTCGGTGAGTTGTGGGGTGGGTGATTTGACCCCTTGAGCTCTGGGGATGAGAGTGCACGGACCAGCGTCCCTTTAGCTCTTGGCGTGCTTTGACCCCTTGGCGTGCTTTTTAACTCCTTTCCCTCCACCTGCTCCATCCTACACAGTCAACGTCTGCAGTGTGTTGCCCAACAATCCCTGCGCCGTGGGGCAGTGCATCCCCCCCAACACCTTCTCACTGCCCCATTTGTCTCTCATTTCCTTCCCCCGTTCACCCTTCCTTTCCAGTCAACGTCTGCAGTGTGCTACCCAACAACCCCTGCGCCGTGGGGCAGTGCATCAACAGCGGTGACCAACCCTACCCCGTCTCATCCCCCCACTCCTCTCGCATCGCACCTTTTCTTCCATCCCTCCTTTCCAGTCGACGTGTGCAGTGTGCTCCCCAACAATCCATGTGTCGTGGGGCAGTGCATCAACAGCGGTGACGGCGGCTACTCGTGCCTCTGCCCGCCCAACTACAAGCCCAGCGTTCTCGCCTCTGGCCAGACCACATGCGTGCCTGGTGAGCCTGGGAGTGTGGCGTGTGTTCTTTGGTGAGCTGGGGGAACGGGGGAATGGTGAGCAATTGGGAGAGAGAGGGTACGGGCGAAAAGAAGAGATGCATTTTTTTTTGTGTGTGTGTGTGTGTGTGTTTGTGTGTGTGTGTGTCTTGAATCACTCATTATATCTGTCTGACATCCCACATGTGGCGTGGCAGAGATGGGAACGAGCACAGCAACAGCGGTTCAGGGCACGTACACAGTGCAGGGGGGAGAGACATGCAGCGCCATCTACGGTTTCATTGGCCTCACCCAGGAGCAGTTTCTACAGCAGAATAAGGTATGAGTGATGAGCGATATGAGAGAAGTTTGTGGCACAGAACGAGGTATGAGGAGGAATGAGAGTGATCAGAGTGATAAGGGCCGTTGCTGCTGTTGAATGAGGTTGGAGCAGCAAAGAGAGCAATGAGGGCAAAGAGAGAGATGAGAGCAACGAGATCGATTGGAGCTTTCCGTGTTTCTTCCGCTCGTGTCTCGTTTCCCTCGCCCTTTCCCTTTTTTTGAGGCGCCTCGTATTTGTTATGCGTCTATTGTTCAAGCGCCTCATGTTTTGTAGGCGTCTGTTTCTTAGGCGCCTCAAAAATGCAGAATGAGGTTGGGGCAGCAATGAGAGCGATTGGAGCTTTCCGTGTTTCCTGTGCGATGAGATATGGAGTGGCGTGATATGAGTGAATTTTCGAGACGTCTCACAATTCACTCATATCACGTCGCTTTTCCTCTGCGATGAGATATGGAGAGAGAGATTCTTCTTCTGCTCCTGTCTCGTTTTCCCTCGCCCTTTGCTTTCCTTCTGTCCATCGCCCTGCCCTTACGTGGGAATGCATACCTGTGTTGCGACAATATCAAGGCATGCCACGTGCACAACATCTCAACAACTCAACATCTGAACATTTCAAGAACATATCAACATCTCAACTCCATCCATCTCTGCTCCTTTCCATATCCTTTCCCCCCTCTACTCTCCCCTATCCCCGCTCCTTTCTCCATCCTTTCCTCTCCATCCATTAGAAAGTGGATTGTGAGAATCTCAAGGCGGGACAGGTGCTCAATATCTCCATCCCCTCCTCTGCGCAAGTCTGCCGCGTTCGCTACTCTGTCACCCAGGTGCGTTACATGTCTCCCAGGTGCGTTACATGTCTCCCAGGTGCGTTACATGTCTCCTAGGTGCGTTACATGTCTCCTAGGTGTGTTACATGTCTCCTAGGTGCGTTACATGTCTCCTAGGTGCGTTACATGTCTCCTAGGTGCGTTACATGTCTCTTAGGTGCGTTACATGTCTCTTAGGTGAGTTACATGTCGCCCGGTGAGTTACATGTCACCCAGGTGTGTTACATGTCACCCAGCTACACTGTCACTCTCCCACTCTCACTCACTCTCTCCCCCCTCTCAACCTTCCACCCCCTCCTCTATCTGCACGCATGCAGCCATCAACACTCACTTCTCTCCCCCCCTCCTCCCCTCCCTTCCCGTCTAAACCCCTTCCTCATTCCCCCCAGGCGGATGCGATAGCAAAGACCTGTGATCCCATCAGTGCTCAAGTCTTCCCCCACTTGCCGTTCATTCCCCTTCCCCAGCTCCCTCCCCTCTCACTCCCTTTCTGTGTCCGCCTCCACTCTCTGCCCCCCCCAGGCGGACGCGGCAGCAAAGAGCTGTGATCCCATCAGTGCTCTACCTCCTCCCACCTCGCTCCTCATTCCCCTTCCCCTGTCCGTCCCCTCTCCCCACTCCCCCCCAGGCGGATGCAGCAGCAAAGAGCTGTGATCCCATTAATAATCGCTTTGGCATCGACGTAACGACCATCAACCCCAGCCTCGACTGCTCAAGCCTCACGCCCAACCAGCAGGTGAGGGGAGTGGAGAGTGGGGCTGCTGGGGCAGCAGGTGAAGGAGTTGACTTTTTTAGTCGATTCTAAAGTGGAGTCACTGGGGCAGCAGGTGAGGGAGTGGGGGCGGGCAGCATAGGCTTTAAGCTTTTTTTGCATCGACCTCGCAAGCATTAACGCTAGAGGGGAGCCCACCTGCTTCTCTCTCCCCTCTTGCTTCACTAACCCTCCCTTACCCGCTCCTCCTCCTCTCTTCCTCTCCTCTCGTCCTCCTCTCTCTCCTCCCCTCCCTCCCCAAAACCTGCAGATCTGCATTCAGGTTGGCAACGCGGTGTCAGGAGCAGCGGACTACAACCTGTGCACGAGCTACCCGACCATCACTGAGTGAACTACCTGCTCCCCTCGCCTCTCTTGCCTCTCATGCCTTCCCTCACCCTCTCCTCCTCTCTCTCTCCCCCTTCCTCAGATCTGCATTCAGGTTGGCGATGCCGTGTCAGGAGCAGCGGACTACAACCTGTGCACGAGCTATCTGCCGGTCAACGAGTGGACCACCTGTGCCAACGCTGTGGATTGGTACCAAATCTCGTGGCTCGACCTCTACCGCCTCAACCCCGGCATCAACTGCGACACACTCACCGCACTCACCGCCTCTGAGGTAGGGTGGCGCTATAGGGGGTGGCTGTGGTAAAGCGAGTAGAGGAGTTGTAGCGCTGAGGAGGGCGCAAAGGGGGGGGGGTCCTGGCATCAACTGCGACACGCTCACAGCACTCACCGCCTCCGAGGTACCGATGGGGAGGTGGTGCTAGGGGGGGGCGTGGCACTTGGAGTGCGAATAGAGGGGGTATGGGGCATGTCGTGGTTCGACCTCTACCGCCTCAACCCCGGCCTCAAGTGCGACACCCTCGGCTCGCTCATCGGCTCGCTCACCCCGAGGTACCTATGAGGGATGGCACTAGGGAGGTTGGTGCTAGGGATCAACTAGTGCCAAGCCCATGGCAGATGCAAAGCTCGCCTTTTGAGGCACCTCACAAATAGCTCGAATCTCGCATTCTTGCTCGCTCCTCCCTCCCCTCCTCCCCCACCCATCCCCACCCCCCAGATCTGCATAGCCGGCACGCCGTTGGGAGCGGTGGCGTGCGGTAAGGCGCGGTCGAAGACGGTGGCGAACCGGCGGTACACGGTGGGGGCGGGGGACAGCTGTGCGTCGCTGGTGGTGGTGCAGTTCCAGCGCCAGCCGCCGCTCGTGGGCGAACTCAACCGCGGCTGGATGTGCCGCTCCCAGAGCCTCTTCCAAGGCATGCCCCTCTGCATCCCCTCCTAAAAATGGCAGAGTGGCATGGCATGCTCCTCTGTATCCCCTCCTAGAAGCAGCGGTGTGGCACAACATGCCCCTCTGCGTCCCTTCTTAGAACCAGCGGCGCGGTGGCGTTGCAAGTTGTTGTAATCTACACAGAAGCGAGGCACCTTCTGACGCGCCTTCTTGTCTAATGAATATTAACTGCTGCAATATGATGTATTGTATGAAAATGCCATGGTATTATATGTATCAAAGTAATACATGCATGTTTACTGGCTATTGGCACAGACCGCTAAAGATTCGCGAAGATCAAATGTGCCAATAATAACTACCGTACTAGTATCTAAACATCTATAACATGTTGGGAAATTTTGGCAAAGGCGCATTAATGCAACTAAAGGAGCCTTTGAAGCAGTTTATCCATTCTTGGTAAACGTGTATACATTTGAACACGCAGGGGCCCCCTTCAAGGTGAGATTGAAATCCCCTGAGAGTAATGAGGTGGGAAAGCAGGTGAGTCAGGCACACGTTCGTGACCAAACCAACGAGAAACCCTAAACCCGCAAACCACCCCCAACCGAGCAATGTCGATCGTTGCCTTGCACTAGCCACATACATATGACAAAGGGCCCATGTCCGCTGCAAAAGTGAATGCCAAAACCACCTAGCCTTGCATGGAGGTGCAGCTGCAAGCGAGCCATTCACGACTTTAACTGATAATTCTCTGTCAATTCACGCGTTTACACTTGTATGTGCACATTATATGCTATGTTGGGTTACTCTGTAGAGGGTACATGTTTGATACCTGTATAGCAGTGTATGCCCCTCACTAGTCATTCTCTGATTCTGACATGATTTCATCTCTAGGTTTAGGTCGTACGCTTCCGCCCCGCTTACCCACCCACCCGCCTCGCCTTGCGTCCCTTCCCGGGATCTTATCCACTCTATGCTCCTCCGTTCTTGTCCCCCTCGTGTTCCGCCACCTCCTGTTATGTCGTTACATCTTTCATTGTCCCTTTCTGTCGTTTCGCCTCCGTTAGCTGATTTCGCCACTCACTTGGTCTCTTCTCCTGCCCGTTCTTCGTCCGTCGGGGGTGCTCCTGCCCTAGAGGACAGGCTGTTCGAGCTGGCTTTCATTGCGCCCGCTGCTCCTCATCTCTGTGCCATGCTACTAGCCCCTGAGGATGACCCAGATGCTCTTGACATCCCCACCCCTCGCACCCCCCCTGAGGCTGTCTCGGGAACATGTGCCTCTCAGTGTGTAGCAGCCATGGACGCAGCGATAACATGTTGGAGGTCCACAGGCACCTACGTTGACGCATGACCCCATGCTAGGGTGAACGTTGTCGATGAAATGTGGATCTTCAAGGTGATGCGGCCACCTGTAGCACCGCGTGTCTTCAAGATGTGCTATGTGGTGAGAGGCTTTAGTCGTCAGAGGGGGTTCACTTCTTTCGGACCTTCTCCCCCACTCTTCGGGCACTGCTGCACATCGCGGCGCAGCACGACTATGAGCTCCACTCGCTTTACTTCTCGACTTCATTTCTCCATGGCAGTTCGCACGAGCAGATCTTCCCCCACCGTCCACCTGGCTTTACTGGGTCGTTCCCTCCTAGGACCCAGTGGAGCCTTCGGTGGCCAGTCTACGGTCAGCGTTTGGCTCCTCGTGAGTAGCACGACACTACTCTAGCTGACGTCAGCTTCTTCCCATCCTCTGCTGAACCCTCTCTCCTCTCAGCATCGTTGCTCGCTTTGTTGCGACTGGGAGACACCGACTCGAGCACTGGTCGGCTGCTAAGATGGTATTGCGCTATCTAGCTAGTACATCATGCATAGGCTTGTGCTTGGAGGACGATAGCCAGTTCCAATTACACGAAACACTGACTCTTCTTGGGCAGATGGCACCGAGACGCTCAGGTTCTCACGGGGCACGGCAGACGCGCGCGGCAGCGGTGCAGTAGGCGCGGGCGGGGCAGCAGCGCGGGCAGCGCATGCAGGCACGCGGCTGGTGCGGGCAAGCGTGTAGCTGGTGCTGGCGGCGCACGGGCTGGCGCGCGGCTGGTGCGGGCGGCACGCTGGCTGGTGCGGCTGGCGCGGGCTGGCGCGTGCTAGCGCGGCTGGCGCTGACGGCGCATGCTGGCGCGGGCTGGCGCTGCTGCCGTGGGCTGGCGCTGCTGGCGTGGGCTGGTGCTGCTGCCGTGGGCTGGCGCTGCTGGTGTGGGCTGGCGTTGCTGCCGTGGGCTGGCGCTGCTGGCGTGGGCTGGTGCTGCTGCCGTGGGCTGGCGCTAGCGGCGTGGGCTGGCGCGGCCTGCGCTGCTGGCGTGGGCTGGCGCTGCTTGCGTGGGCTGCCGCAGGCTGGCGTGGCTGTCGCGCGGGCTGCCGCGGGCTAGGGCGGGTGGCGAGAGGGCTGGCGTGGCTGTCGTGCAGGCTGCCGCGGGCTAGGGCGGGTGGTGAGAGGGCTGGTGCGGTTGACGCGGGTGGTGCAGGCTGGCGCGTTAGAAGGCGCGCTAGGGGGCACGCTAGGGGGTGCGCTAAGGGGTGTGCTAGGGGCGCTAACCGCGACGTGGCAACCAGGACAGGGCACACTAAGGGCACTTTTGGGCGGTACTAGGGTCAGCTAGGGTAGACGAGGCGGAAGCTATGGCCTAACATAGTTTAATACCACGTTAACGAGAAAAGGAAAGAATGACTAGAATGAGGGCATAAAGTTGTGATATGTACCAAACATGTACCCTCTACAAGTAACCCATCCTAGACTACCGTATAGCCCCGGATATAAGCGCCGTCCGTTTAAAGGCGCCGGCGCTTCTATCTGGAGCAGGCGCTTATAGACGCGACTTGATTATAAGCGCACCCCTTGTGAAACCTGTACTTATTATAAGCGCCCCCTTGTTCGGTATTGGTAGTTTTATCTTTTTTTTTAGTTTTATCTAACCACAATTCATCTAGCTAGTACTCGCAAAGACAACATAATGTTCTAATGATTACACTAGCACGGTCTGAGCATACAATCACTACGTATATTCAAGCTATTGCACGGCTTTACAGCCCCTAGCACGTCTCCTCATCTTCGTCTGACTCAGGGTCCGGGCAGTTGTTGCCCCAGAAGCCGTCGGCCGTGATGTCGTCGTCCACGTCCACTTCGTGCGTGAGCTGGCTCCTCCTGTGCGCCATAGTGAGATTCTCCTCGCTCCCGTCTAGTGCGTTGCTGATGCCGCATGTTAGAAACGCCTTCTTGATAAGTTCGGCGGGGACTGCCTTCCAGGCCCCGGAGATCCACCTGAGAACCACCTCTGCTGGCGGCTTCTTCAGATTCCCTGCACCACATGGCACTCACGGGGGTGATTAGAACAACAAAGGGAGAGGACAAAACTGCTAGACGTTAAACAACAAGGCCAAACCATACCTGCTTTGGTGAGCCTCTCCAAGCCTTCTTCCTCAAACCAGCTCTGGTACTGCTGGCGGACGGAGGCTTTGAAACTCTTGTTGACCGAGACGTCGAGCGGCTGTACCTCCGCCGTACAACCTCCTGGGATGATAGCCGGGACGATGTTGAGCTCGGCGAACTTCTTCTTCACCTCGTCCGTGAGATGCCCGCGGTAAGAATCCAGAACGAGCATCGCGCTCTTCGCCTGCCTGCCGAACCGGGGCTTCATGAAAGGCTTGATACACCCGTCAAGCCACTTCGCGACGCCGTCGGCGTCCATCCAGCCGTTGTCTTGGCACCCCACCACCACATCTGCGCACGCAATAAAAGGAACTACGCATGTTAAACTGCGACGACATCAAACATGAGTACATGAATAGGCAAGGATGTCTTACCCGTCGGGAAATCCCCCTTCGGCACCGTCTTGCGCTTGAAGAAGACCCATGGTTTCAGCTTCACCCCGTCAGCAGTGCACGCCAACATCACGGTTACTCGCTGCTTCTGGTAACCCGTGCTCCTGATGGGCACCGAGCGAACTCCCTTCTGATCCACGGTGGTGGTGGCGGGCATCTCCAGCCACAGCGGCGTTTGGTCGGCGTTAATAATCCACGCCGTATCAATCCCGCGCTCACGCCGGTTGTTACGGACGAACTCCCAGAATTTCTCGCACTGCTCCGCGACATCTGTGTAACAAAGGTAAGGGGTGGAAGAGGTTACGGATATTAAACCAGATGTCATAAAACCAAGAAAACCAACGGTGAAACAACTGAGCGAACCACTTACGTGCGGCAATTTTCTGAGCTACCTTCGTCTTCATGCGGACGCTCAAGTTCCAGCGCCGCCGAAACCGGTCCGACCACCGTTGACTGCCCTTCCATTTGACGTCGGGGAACAGAAGCTTCATAAACTCGTGCGACCACTCCTGCAGCCGACCGACAGAGACCGCGCATCCCTTGCGCCGCCACTCCAGCAGCCTCGCATAGACCTTCAGCTCCATGGCTCTGTACCAAGAAGCTCTGCCGCGACCGTGCATCCGCATGCGAGCGCCGTGAGCATCCTTGAGGATGGCGGCCTCCTTCATCCACTGCGTCAGGCACTTCCGATGGATACCAGATTCACGTGACAGCGCGCGGACCGAAACCGCCACTTCCATGAGCGCGCACCACTTCAATTTCTCTTGGGCTGTGTAGGCCTTTCGCTTGTGCTGCGTCATCCTGTGCCTGGGAGAGGGAGGGCGGGCATCTCGGTTCTGGGAAGATGGGTGGGGACGCTTGCGGTTAATCGGTGGGTAGGAAGGGATGGGCAATTTTTCAGGAAGGCCGTCGCGCGACCAGTATTCCACTCCGTCGCTGTCATCGCCGCCCACAGCACCCTCGGGGAACACATCGGCCTCCGTGCCCGCCTCGGTGCCAGCCTCTGTGGCGGTCTCGTTGTCCGCCCCGCCGGCCTTGTCGCCCTCCGCGCCCTCGGTTTCCACTTCGTCGTCAGCGCCCACAGCAGATTCGTCCCACGCGCAGTTTCCGGGCTCGCCCCAGCGTGGTGCCGACGCGGATTCACCTTGAGGCTTGTCTCTGACAGGCTCTTCCAGCCATTCGGT